CACATGTGTTGATAGTTAATTATGTACTACTGAGTATGCATGTACAATATTTTATGTATATTTCTTTGTTGCTCGGTTAATCAAATTCTAACACGTGTGAACTGTTGTCTTTTTGTTTTCCTTAGACAATTGGTTCAAGCTAGTATACTCAAAGGCCTTATTTTAATTTATTTTGTTAGCATGCATCATTTTGTTAGCATGCATCATTTTGTTAACATTGAACTATATTGAATTCACGTATTCAGTTTACATTTGCTGTTTATTAATGTAATATTAGTAAGATTACTGAATTTCATATTTATTGTCTTATTTAATGTTCAATTATTATTATTGGTTCTCTCCACATTGTAGTCTTTTGCTAGTGCATTTTTCCATATATCTGAAGAGAATTTCTACCAGAACAACGGAATGACGGATGTAGGAGAAACTAGCAAGAAGAGGAAGAAGTGTGGACCTACTGGGCTACATGAGATAACTTGAATTAGCAGTGAAGGCCTCAGGAGGGTGATTAAGTATAATGTGAAAGGGCAACCTGCATCGAAATTGAAGAGTCTTATTGGAATAAGTGTACAACACCAAATTTCGATCATATACGAAAATTGAAAAACAGTTCCATCAGAGACAAAAGAGAAAATCTATGACTTGATCCAGGTATCATTATATTTACACATTAGTCATACTTGGTTTACATAGGCACATTAATGTTAAACAATTTTTATTGGCCATATAGGGTGAATTTGTAGTTGATCGGAGAACGAAAAAAATCTTATTAAAGTTGCTGGGATAGCTTTTAGAAACTTTAAGTATAGGCTCACGAAGGAGTTCATTAAGCTATTTATAAACGATCTGGAGAAATTAAAGTCTCATCTAGAATACTATTTACATATCTTGCAAGAACATTAGGAAGTGTTTGTGGAATCCAGATTGAATGAAGACTTTGAGGTACGAATAAGAATTTATATACTTTGCATTTTATTTATGTATGGTCTATCCCAAATCATTTCTTGCACCAATATATTGATATTTTATGCAGAAACAAAGTGAGACTAACAAAGGAAAGTGTAAAAAATACGTGTACAACCGTCGCATGTCGCGAAGGGTTATGCAAATCTTGCTGAGGAAATGGTACGTTGTATATTTATTATAATGTTTTAACCCATACTTATTAACTAAATGTAATTATGTGTATAGAAAATTGATGCATCTCATGAGAGGCCATCAGATCATTACATCTTATGGAAGAAGGCTCGAATGAATCGTGATAGGAAGTTTGTGCATGAACCGACTCAGAAAGTTGTGGAGGGCATATGAAGTGTTATATTAATGTTTTAGTACAATTAATAATTGTTTGAACTTATCTTTGCTATTACAACTGTAGGATGATCTCATGATAACACAGCACATGGAAGAACATAATCTAGATAAAGGTGATGATTTATTATCCATCGCACTAGGTAATCAGGATTGGCTCGGGCTTATTAGAGCAGTAGGTCGGGGTAAAGCCAGTACTTTCATAATCCAACAAAACCCTCAGTATCCACAGTAGGAGAGAAAATGTGGACATCGAAGAATGTGATAGAATGCCAGCTCGCGTCAAAGAACTTGAAGAGAAATTGAAGAAATGTGAAAATGATCTCCAAAATAAAAACACGGCACGCCATCTAAGAAAACTCTTAAAAAATCTCCTAAAACCAAAGCGTACCTCACCATTTAAAAACGCTCCAAAAAATATCTTCAATCGAAGTGTGGTACTCCATCCAAACATGAGGATGATGCAAAGGTTGTCAAGAAGTCAAAGATAGAGGAGGTAAATGTTTATGTTTAATATTTACTTATAAGAAACGTAATGAACGTAGTTACCAATAGTTAACTGATCTTACTTTCTGTATTCACTTCAAGATATTGGTGAAAGAAGAAACCTTGACATTCAATGTAAGTGTCCACTAATGTTCGTTTAAGGAACTAAGAAATTATACTTCGTTAACTGTTTATATTTATTGTATTCAAAATAGGAGGGAACACATTGTCGTCTGGCACTTGGGTCTATCGATAATGTTGTCGCAGCGGACATTATATTTGAATCGGGGAGAAATGATGGATGAAAGTGTCCATAGACATGGTTGTCGATGACAACTCTCGACTTCCAATTCCATCACATGCAGGGAATGATATACCCTCACAAGAAATAGGTTCACATATCTTATGGCCACAAAACTAGTCATAGCTGATGCAGAGAAGGTAACATCTCTTAATTGATTGTAAGATTTCAATAGTCCATTATTAACAACTATCTTATTCTGTGATGAAGGAAATAAAACAACCAATGGAACTATTGAATTTGACAACTTGTAAAATTCTGAAACAAACAGTGCCTGTTAGTCTAGCATGTTTAACTCGTGAAATAAACTACATTGGAAGGACAATTCAAATGATGATATTGAATGATGTTTTCGGACATGAACATAAGTGTTTTATCATGGTTGAGGATGTACGTAGGTTGGTTCATATGAAACTAACGACTACTCCTTGCATTGATGCCTACACAACGTAACCTCTTTTGTTAGTTGTAGAGTACGTTATGAAATAACGTATGCTTTCAAGTTCTTTTGTTAGTTGTAGAGTATGTTATGTTGATCAATATATTTATTTATTTAATGTTCAACTTTTAACGCCTTTGTGTAGGTTCTTACATGGATTTTTAGGCAATGAAAATGCATCAAGTTCGTATAAGTTTTTTGATGCTGGGGCCACTTCCATAACAAATTTGTCGAAAGAAAACCCTATTCTAGTAATGACTAAACGACTATTGGAATTGGAGTTGAACCAACTGCTAATGTTTCCATATCATTTAGTGTAAGTTTTGCTTGGTCGTATATAATTATTGTTTACGTGCAAATACGTTAATATTAACTTGATTTTGTAGAGATCATTGGACATTGATAGTAATGACTCCCACAAGGAACATGACATTCTTTTTTGATTCATTGGGAAATCTTCTAACAGACGATATGCTTAGTGTCATCATAATGTAAGTGTAGTTCATGCATACTCATTTAATATTGAAGACTACTTAATATAAATAATGAGATAATATCTTATATGAATCATTTGCTGTAAGGCTGTAAGAAATTTGCAGAAAAAACCCTTTACTATGAAGTGTGTACTGGTAAAACATTTAACGAGTTCAAATATTTGTCTGGATGTATATGTAATTTTCTCATTGAATGTTATTATTTATATGTTGTATTCACAATGTCCAAGGCAACCCGATGCAGTGGAATGCAGATATTATGTCATACGGTTTATGCGTGACACAATCTACGCTCGTAACACAACAATCTCATACTGCATACGTATATAGCATAGTGTGCGTATTAGAGCAATAATATATATTCCCATGATGCATTGCTTTGACTTTGATATAAATATGTATAGATAAAAGGAGCACCGCAGTCTTATACACAAGAGCAATTGGATGTGATTCAGAGGGAGTTGGCATAGTTTATACTCTCACACATATACTTTCCATAGTATATGTGGTATGTTATTTGTTGGCTTCCCCATTCACACAATCTTAAGTTTTATTGGCCACTGCATGTAGGAGCTTGAAATTTTGTTGCGTGGAAGATTTGATTGAATATTTGGGCAATACCATTATTATCAACTACATCTATTGTAACGGTCTATTGAAGTATGGTTCTTGATCACTGTTCATGACCCATGTTATTGACTATATTATTTAGCTGAAATATATCATATGATCTTGAAAAAATGTTGGTCAGAGTGAAATTATTCATTGTAGACATTATATCCATTTCATATATTATGTTAATCACCACCCCATAAAATTAGTTATGTATTATGTTTGTTATGTTACTCTAGGAATGGAGTAGGTAATATAATTATTGTGGCTATACCTAATTCAAATTAGTGTTCCTCGTACATGTGTTGAACCAAAATGATGATAATTTGTCAGAAATTTGTTCTTATTCTTTATCTAAGTATATCTTATGATTTATGAATATCATGCTCATTAGAGTGCATAAGTTAATCTTAATATTGTACTCTCCTGAGTTTTAAGATTATTTTTATTTTAAGATTTAATTTGTGCTTTGGATTTTCTCCTAAGTTAATAATTTGAATTCTCGGATTTTATAATTTTGGAGTCTAATTTTGGATAAATTAGGATTAACCTTTATGAACTAAGATAAATTAAGTTTTCGAATTTTGGAAAGAGATTTTTAATTAAATTTTAATTTAAAGTTTTGAAAATTTAATTTTTCCTTTTAATTTTATTATATAAAATCCAGTTAATTTATTTAAATTGAGTGTTCCTTTTTATAGGAAGGATTACGAAAAATTCCTCATTATTTATAAGACTATGATTACTTCCCTCTTCTTCTCCCATTGCTCAGCTGTCAGCCCCCCTCAAGATTGTCCCAGCCGCCACCTCCAGCTTTTGCTCCGGCCAGACCACGGCAGACCCGACGTCCTCCAGACCAGACATCTTCCGACGACTCCTCTGCAGCACCACGGCGCTATGGCGAGGACGCAGGCGTTGGCTTTCTAATCCTTCGGTGGCGACCTCCCCACGCGACCCGTAGCAGTCGACGGGTGTTCTCCACGGCGGCGTTCGGCGTGTTGCAGGAGCAGCCGTCGGCCTTTGTAGCGACGCGGCGGCGGCAGCGCGTGTTTCCAGCCCATATTCGACGGGTTCTCGACGTCCTCCCGGCTTCGACGACCACGAACGCCCAGATCGGCGTTTCTCCGGTGGCTCAGCAGTGTGACTCGCGGATTCCGGTGGCGCGACCTCTTCCCCGGCAGAAACCCGCGGCCAGCACATGAACCGACGTCTCCAACGACCTGTTTTGCGATCCCAACGTGAACAGTAGCGGATTCACGAAGATTTCCTCGTTCCGGCGACATTCAGCGCTTACCCACACCCATTCAAAGCTTGATTTGAGTTACCCACCTCTTTCGGTGTTGATTCAGCGTCACTCATCGCTTTTCGGCATCTGAGCAGCAAGTCCGAAGCCTTTCAAACTCGGATTTGGGAGCCCGAACCTCTTACTCCTAATCCAAGAGGTTTTAGTGTGAGTAGTACACCTAAACTTAGTTTCATTACAAATCAAGTGTTTCTGAGTTGGTTTCTAACCCAAGTCTGGTTGTTTTGATTTAGGAACCCTTCGGCGAGCTTAGCAGCGTGTTAGGAACTTTGTAAGTAGTTTTTAGTTTTAGAGATGTTTGTTCTTTGATGTATGAAAGAATTGTATGCTTGTGTTTGCTTGTTTACGGCTGTTATACTATGTACTTGTTACTATTCAAATAAGTCTTGATAAGTTGTTGGTTGAGCCTCTCTTGTGAATTAGATACGTTGTTGTTGGATCATGCTGGACTATTTTATGTTGGTTGGTATTTACGTATGTTTTGTGTATATTGCATACTGGACTGTCATGAGATGATTGATGCATGGGTCATGGGTTAGAAGCATGCAGGACTTAGGTCGTTTGGTGTAGTTGAAAATTTGGGGGCGTTACAGTTGGTATCAGAGCAGAGTTGGTACTGTGAATTGACCTAGAACCTAGGTCATTTAGTGTTATGGTCTTTCTTAGTCTCATCTCCATCACGTGGACTTGCTATCTTATGGTTGATTGACTTATGAACTTATTATTCTTTATGTTTTTACTTGATTTGCTTATGTTTGTTTTATGATTTGCTATGTTGATGCTTGTGTGTTAGTCAGGCATAGGATGCTCCCTAGTGAACTAGATAGTTTTGTGCAACATCGTGATGCTTTTGCTATTGTGTTTTGTGACTCAAGGTGAGTCATTCCCTTATTTATTGTTGTTTGTTGGCGAGTGAGCATAGAGTTGGAAATTGTTGAACTAAAGTTCTAGTATTAGAGTAGCGCAGTTGAAGCGTGGTGAAAATCTATCATCGTTTTGTTTTGCTAGTGGTTTAATTCTTTGGTACGAGTGGAACTTTTAGGTGGTTGTAGTAACGGTCCTCAGTTGTTTGTACTCTTCTTCTCTTGAAAGTGATAGTATTGGAATTATCATAGCTTATTCTTATGTAAATTGGTCCTTGTTCCCTCTGTTCTGTTTAGTAAGCGAGTCTTAAGTTAGAACCATTAGATTTTTCGCAATAGGCCTTTTTCACACCGTCAGACTCGGTGTTTTGCTATCAGTTTTATTGTGAAAGTGAAAAGTTTTCTATTACACAAAAGACCCACCAAGATTTAAAAAGTAAGGAGCCATCTTAGTAAAGATGTTGCAGGGAAGCAACTAAAAAAGGAAAAAC